TACCTGACTTCACAAATGTGCATGCGTAAGAATGGCCAAAAATTCCCTAAAACACACTCATAAGTAGGGATGGGTATCGTTTAGGTTTTATCCGATACCAGTGCCAAACCGGTACTTTTGAAACGGTGCCGGTGCTTAAACGGTGCTCGAACCGGTGCTTAAAGAATGGAGAACACAAACTTTGTCCAAAAACCTCTCATGTTCAGCTGTTTTTTTGTAAAAAGATAACAATGTTAGCCTTTTCTGCAGCTATAGGGCATATATGGTATCACTCTTGGCTGGAAGCAGTGCTTAAACAATGGAAAAAACACAAACTTTGTCCAAAAACCTCTCATGTTTAACTGTTTTCCACTTTTTCTTTGGTCATTTTAGCCTTTTTGGCCAGGGTGAAGGGAGTATCTGCCATCAAACAAGAAGACAGCCGCATGTAACTACGACGTGTTTGCTAGTTCACCTTACATGCATTAATGTAATAACGTGGTTAGCCTACTCAACGTAAATTACACACGAACAACATTAAGCTACTCACGCAGAGAAGAACGGCTGCTGCTGCCATCATCATCCGTCATCATTTCTGCTACACTGGCAGGGCTAGGGGCCAGGACTCTCCTCTTCGGGTTTTTGGGGGATGTTGCAAACTCCGGGACCGATAACAGGCAACCCACCCGCAGTAGATGTGCTTGGTGTGAGGTCTCGCAGCAAGCTATCAAATACGGTGCATTTCTCGGCTTTTAAAAAAACGCTATGCGTCACCAGGTGTTTCATCAGATTCGAGGTGTTACCTCCTTTGCACAGTATCACCTTAAAGCACTTGTTGCAGGCTGCTGAGTTTGCATCTTTTGCTGTGAAGTACAGCCAGACTTTTGACCGCTTCGCCTTGGGCATTTTTAATCTGTAGCTCTGCTCTAAAAGAACGTACGTACCTGGGCCCGCCTACTATGCTTGCAAAGGTAAAATGATTGGCTAGAATCCAAAGTGTGTGACATCTCAGGAAAAAAAGCACCGAAATAAAGCACAGAAATGTGCGCTGCTTTTCGGTCTGGTTACTACCGTTTATGTCAGAACGCACCGGATGCCGGTACCCATCCCTACTCATAAGCCTTGTGAAAATCCTTCTCAGAAGAGTTAAAGCTGATATAGTTCCAAAGGCCAGCACACATCAAAGATTAAACCCTATGGATTAAAAAAGGGATGTTACTCCAGTTCAGTTTTGTGCATCTGTGAAGGCTTTTGGCAATATAGTGCATTTGTCTTGCCAGAATCTGCTTTCTCTTTGGATTGTTTCTAGAATAGGAAATAATGTGAACTTAAACAGCATATTGGATGCTCGTTTAGCATTTGAATTAGCCTGGGAGAGTTGATATGCCCTGTGTAGATAATAGATGAATTTGTCATAAAGTATATAAAACATAAAAAATATCAAATATAAAAAAATAAAAGCTTAATTTCAATCACAATGTAAGCACATTTTGGTTGAAATCTATTTAGCCTTTTTGTGGGTGGTTGTTGGGGTTCTTAGCAGTGAATAACTAATCAAGATCCAAAAAGGAAACTGTAATTGAAACCAAGTCTCCAGTAATCATGTATTAAGCAAAGTCATTATTTATTTTGAGCAAAAATACAATGGAAATAATTAAAAGAGAGAATACAAATTCAAAGCAAGATCCAGAAATATGCTTTCAGAATCACAGTTGCCATTATACAATGACACTGATCACAATGTTAGAGAGAAACAGCATAAAAAGATGACTCATCACACATTTAAATTCATGTGGATGTAAATGTGACAGCCCATGCTTATACAAATGTAAATGCAGAATACATAGTAGCATTAGTAATACCATAATTTGTGATACAATGCTGCTAGTAGCAGTGGTCATATTATGTTTTCTTATAAAATTCCCCATGTCACAAAGTGAATAAATTCTTAAAATAAAAAGTTTAAGTGTTATTTGATGCAGGTTCAAAAAAGTCCCTACTTTCCAAAAGCCTGTGCTGTAAGAACATTAAAGTTACTTATTATTACATGAGGCTATGAGATTGCCAGAAAGCAACACTTAGTGTGTGTGACAGAGCCAAATGATTATAATTTTATGAAGCATTTGTATTACATTTGTACATCTCATGCTATTTTACTGCCACAGGATGGTCTTCACATACATGAAATGTGTTCAAATTACCAACACTCCAATATATGAAAATAAAATTATAGTTACACATGAACATGTAATTTGCATTAGCTTCGACATATTATACTTTATAATATTACTAATATTATAATATTGTTCAGTAAAACAAAGCTGTCACAGACTGTATATTTATATTGAGCACACATTTCTTAAAATAACAAAATAAAACCCACAATTACTGACAGATTTTGGATCTGTTGTTTTTGAAAGAAATTTAATGAGGAATCAATTTAATATTTAATCAGCACAAATCAGGGATTTTCCTTTATAAAATAACTACATAGATGTACTATACAGAGGCCCATCCAGTGATGTGTTACCTAATTTAAGGCTGATTGATCATTATAAAAAGCCTTTGCCAGTAATGGTAATTGCTGATTAAAGAAGCACCGCTTTTTGTTCCCTAGTGTAGTTGCATGTCTGGAGCTTCAGCTTAGGTTTCGATAACAGTCTCAAAAGGGGTAGAGATGCAAAGAAAAAAGCCACTCCTGATATTGGCCCAAAAGATCAACATGGGCAAAGGGACAGAAAACCTGGACAGAGAAAGATTGGAAAATGTGCTATGAACAAACAGTCTGTGTTTGAGATGTCTGAACCAAAAGAAAAACAGCTGTGAGATGTAGAATAAATACACAGATGCTGAAAGAGGTGGTTGGTCCCAACTACTATGGTTTAACATCATTCTAAAGTGAAACCAGATAATAACCAAAAGCAAAGTTCAAAAATTATACAAAAAATTTTAAAGAAGTTGGTCAGGTAACTTCAGGTCAGGTCAGGTATTCAGTAACTGAGTGGCCAACACAGGACCTCAACCTTATTACTAAGGTGTTGTGTGAACAGCGTGTCAGTATGGTACAAAATAAGTGCTCAGTAAACTAGGGCTGTGCGATATGACCAAAATCTCATATCCTGATATTAAAACATCTATTGTCCCGATAACGATATAAATCACAAAAATGTAACATTCTCTGTAAAGCTCGACTTGCGTGAAGTGTTTCCAGCTGGGCGTCGTGTACCAACAAAGTCTTGGGTAATTGACATTTTGAAAAGGCTTCATTATACATATCTTTCAACAACGGTGCCATAAGATCAGAATTGACTTTATAGTATTCTGCAGAGTAACCGTCAGGGCCCGGCGATTTACCTGTGTTTAAGGATTTAATGGCTTTTTGTACCTCTACTAGGTATATATATGTGTGTGTGTTGCCTCGTTCCTAAGTTATGAAGTTCATAAAGTTGGGTGTCCACCCCCCCCTCCTCAGTGGGGTGTCAACAGTACTCAGCCTTTTATTGCGGGCAGATAAAAAGGTAAGCTAAAAATACTTTGCTGATAGATAGATTTATAAATTTCAAATAAATGTTAGAATCCACAAGGGGGTTCTTTATAAGTCTGCACTTTGCTTAATTAAGAAAATACCATATGTTACAGTGACATCTGGGGAAATTAACAGCTGATTTTAATTGCAGACAAAAATTGTATATCGATAACAAAACAAATTGCATTTTCCGGTGTAGAAAAAGTTTTAAAATATTTATTTGGTAAGCAGAAGTCTTTATCAGACAGCAAATAACTAACTTGACACATTTAAACATCAATCTGACAACAATCTGTACAAAAAGCTTCGAGCACATGAAATTTGATTTGTGTAATCTAATCCATTTTGCACTTCCACTACAACACCACAGTTAATTAACAAAATGCTTCTATGCCTTGTTAAGTAACTGAAATTGTCAGCTGTACAGAACATAAAACAATTTGTGCTCATGCAAACATTTATTTGATCAGTGTCTTGGCAAGATGCACTAAGATTCCAATAAACACATGGAAAAAGTGCTCACTGATAGACAATAGGGTTTCATTTTTACTCTGCTCCTGTGCATCTGCAGAAATTCTATAGTCCCAGATGTATGGAGACCTTACTTTTATCAATTACGATCATGAGTTGTAGCCCAGGAGCCATGAGTCATATGTCTGAGATATACATGTTTAAAAAGGTTAAATAGAATAGCTGTAAAGCATATACATTTCCCTGACAGGCTGAAGAAAATAAGAGTATATTTGAATGGAAGGGAAACAAATCATCACGAGAAACAAAGTTCATTGTTTGTAGCTCTTGAAAAGAGCACCATTATTTCTTTGTGCACAGTATTATCACGGCTGGTGGGTCAAGACATAGACACCAAAGGATGCCTTGTGCCTAATTTGGCTGCCAGCTGCCTCTGACTATTCATGTATAAAAGTACAAAAAACAACATTCCTGTGGTGTAGGTGCACCCATTTGCTTTATCAGATGTTTTAACACTATCATTGTGTGGTCTTACATGTGTATGTGCAACTACTTTCATCCTGCTCTAATGTCAACGTGAAAATGCTCTTTAACAACTTGGTGAGTGACAAAACTATCTCATTTTCCCTACAAAATACCTCTGTTGTTGACCTTAATGGTTGTTTTTAGTATTTTGAACATCTAAATCCGCGATTCTAGTGTTCCATTTCATTTCTGCACTTTATTTTAGCCAATTTCTGGTTAAATCTGGTTTGGATTATTTATTTATTTATTTTTTGGGAGTAGTAATTAAACATTTTTTTGCAGGTTTTATAGGGAAAAACAAAAACCAAACAGCTGAATTTCCACTCACCTGTGCTACTCTGGGATTTGGAAATCAAACCTGATTGCAGCAAAAACACCTGATTCACCTAGTATTTTCCAACACATAGCACAACCTCCCCCACCCTCATTCAGATCTGGCCTTTGGAACTATTTTGGTCTTCATGTGAA